ATCTACTAACAACATAAATAGCTGCTATATCTTGCATATCTCAATCCATGACGTCATTCAATACATAACTTAGGCTTTTAAAGGTTCAGTTTATCACCACTAAAATAACAAAAAATACAAACTGTTAATTTTCCAAAAAATAATATTTTCTGTTACTCCTGTAGGCATGAAGTCCCCAGCAACCACAAGTCCCGTGGTTCCAATCGTTCCAGTAACACCCGGGGTCACTCCCGTAGTCACACCCACAACCATCGATTCTGAAAACACTAAAAACATTCAACAAGAGACACCATTGAGGCGAGAGAAACCACCAGTGCCACAGAAACCCAAGAATTATGCTGCTTCTATCAATGACAGGTGGGCAGTTAATGATCAGAGAGCGTCCTCACTGTCACAGAACAGGCGATCACAACCACATGAAAGTTTTAAAGATGTTAGTGGGGAACTTAAATATATGTTTATTCACAGTAATGGCAGTCATACACAGCAACAAGGTATTGGACCAACAAGAGGTGGTAAAGTAGCACACGTATGAGATCAGAAATAAACACAATGCTGACATGATGAAATCTGGAAGATGTAAATAATGTTCAACACTGCCAACTTGTTATTTTTGTCTGTCAATGTTTGCAATTAATAAATCATCATCAAGAGGATGAGCAGTTAATATTCAGCCATGACTAGACTTAATATCAGACAGCTGATAAGTACTGGTACGAGTTGATTGTAATTATGACAAAAATGTACAAGATTGATTGTGGTGTCTGGTACAAATGTGTTTTCTCATCACGATTACGAGTATGGAGCGCTTCGTGTTATGTGTGATGCTGAAGAATAAACATGAGGTGTTTGTTATTTGAACAGATTTCTATGTGAAAGAACATAAAGAAAGTTATAACACTGAACATGTATGATATAATATATTTCATAATATTGGTCCCACTCGCAGTATGTAAAGACTTTTACGACAAAACATATGAAGTAAAGTGACATGAATTATGTGAACATATTCTTTCCAGTCACAGCATGTATGAAAACTTTTATATTCAAGGCGCCATAGATCTAAATAAACAGATCCATATCAACAATACCACACAAGACATGGAAAGACACATTATGTGAAGTGAACAGATTCTTGCACTAGAAAATGTGGTTGTGGCATGCTACAAAAAGCTCAACATGTGAAATTATTGTGTAATCTAAATCGTGTGAACTAATTAATTAATGTCAAATTTGAACTTGACCATGTATGGGGTTTGCAGTATTAGTGTCCATGAAACTGCTGACTCATTGGTCGCTCTGCTCTGTTGTGTTAACATGTGATCTATGTATAAAACTGTACATATTTACTTTGTGTGATATCTTTTAATGATTTCTTGTATGAATAAGTGAATGTGTTTTTTTTCTAACTGTCCAATAATTCTTGTGCTTGGGTGGAGTTATGAAAATTCTGTTTTTGTTGAGTATATCTGTGGTGCTGTATCCAACTACTTGTCATTGATGCAGTTTGTTATGATGCAAATAGTGTGTAAACGAGTGTCTGTTATCATTTTATATCAACATTGACACTGTCTATTGCAGCCGAGTTCTGATAAAATAAACACTGCCAACATTTTTTTTTTCCAGTATTAGAACTCGAGTGCAGGTACCAGTAATTCATAGTGAAAATTATCATCGTAGATGTTAACACTGCTTCCATGTAATATATTGATTTATCTGCCAGGGTTCTCCCCAGAAAAAATGCATAGCGCCGGGGCTAATTTGCATAATAATTTGCATATCATTTACATATCTTTCCTTCATTGATTAACAGAACTTATTTACAATTATGAATATTAGTGAGCTCAGTCACAGGGCAAATATTTTTTTAATGGAATCAACACATTATGTTTCACAATTTAGAAGAGTTTGAAACATTCTCGAAATACAAATGCTGCAGACTAAAAACAAACACAAATACATTATTGTTGCAATTTAATTGTTTTGTAAAACGTTGAAGGAAACGCATTCAAAACGTTAAGCCAGATTTATGTTCACGAATCTCATAATTTTATTCACTCCAAAAACATTCTCCTTCAAAAAATCGATCACGTAATTAATTGACGTATTGTTGTAATTTATTATTCGTACCATCAACTTCTAAAACGTATACAATTACAGTAATGAGCGAACAAATAAAGCTTCAAAACGATCATCAAAGTTACGACGTGACATAACTTACTTGGCCATGTTATACACCAGTTATAGCAATAATTCCTCAACAAATTTTACTTGTTTTTTTTTGACTCCCATGTGCGAAGCACAAAATGGGAGTCTTTGCAGTTAGTGTGTCTGTATGTGTGTATGTATGTGTGTATGTGTGTCCGACTGTTCCACTGC